CCACCCTCCGTGCTTGCTGTTCCAAGAGGGGGTATGTGATGGGGCTGATGGGAAAGAGACTCATTAATTGAGGAGAGCTGCTCTGCCATGGGGGGTGATAGGAGGGCAGGGGGAGGGCAGGGGGAGGCAGGGTGTTGTATCGGGTGGATTTCCTCAGCACTAAACGTGACGGTACAGGATGGCAGGGCAGACCCACTGAGCCTAGCTGCGTCGGCAGACCTTGTCCTCTCCAAGCCCTAAAACTGCCTAGCAGCGCCTTGGCCGCCCCAGCTCACTCCAGCCTGGAAAGTGGTGGTTCTCAGACTTGCCAAGTCTGAGAACCCGCGGTGTGTCGGAAATCCCTGCAGGGCCTGTTCAAACCCAGGTTGCTGGGCAGGTCTTGGGGGAGGCTGAGATACCCATTTCTAACGACCCCTAGGGAGGCTGCGGCCGCTGGTGGGTGGGATACACCTTGGGGACCACTGATCTAAGAGGACAGCTGAGGCCAGAGGGACGACGCTCAGCCTGGGCCTGGCCGTAAACATAGGAAATGAGCAGCGGAGAAGTGTGTGTGGGCTGCAGGACAAGAGAGTCCCAGCTTTGGACATGGCTGAAGCCCAACAGCCCTCCCAGCTGCAGGACAGGAATCCTGCCTGTTTTGGGTGGATTAAAATAGAAAAGTGCAAAGGTTAGGTTGATAATAACAGTCCAATGGCTCATGCCTGTAATCCCAGCACTTTGGGAGGTCGGGGCAGGAGGATCGCTTGAGGCCAGGGGTTTGATACCAGCCTGGGCAATATAGTGAAACCCCTCTCTACAAAAAAAAAATTTTTTTTTAAATTAGCCAGGCATGGTGGTGCGCACCTGTAGTCCTAGCTACTCGGGAGGCAGAGGCAGAAGGATCACTTGAGCCCAGGAATTTGAGGTTACAGTGAGCTATGATTGCACCACTACACTCCACCCTGGGCAGCAGAGCAAGATCCCATCTCAAAAAATGATAACACAATAGCCACCTTATTAGATGCTCACTTTGGGCCTAGCACCATGCCACGGGCTGTGCACATCACTGCATTTAACCACTACAACAGCTCCTAAAGTAGGTGCTGTCTTCACCCCCATTTTATAGGAGGCAAAGGTGAGGCTCAGAGGGGTTAAGTGACTTGCCCAAAGCCTCACAGCTGTGGCAGAGCTGTGAACTGGACTCAAACCGGTCCAGTGGAAGTGGGCCACTCCACAGCCCTCTTCACCCTGGGCACAAAATGCACCTAAAACACCCCCCAGGTGCCACGACTGTCAAGCGCGTGCTCCACGAGCAGCTACGAAAGTGCAGCACCCTTGAGCCCGAGGGCTGCCTGCAGTGCCTCTGAGCTGGATCCGTCACTGAACCCTAGACCTGGATTTCTGGAGAAATCCAGAAATTTCTCACCTGGCTCCACTTCACCCTCCAGACTCTAGAAAGGGATGCTCTGCTTGTTCTTTGAGCATCGGCCTTCCTCTGGGAAAATCTGTTCCCGCCTATTTTCTGTCTATGGGGTGGAGATGGTCACAGGCCAACTCGAGAAGGCCATGAAGTTCTGCGGGGACCTGAGTTTGGCCTTGGACAATGGCTCGATAAGAAGAAAGTGACAAAGATCGTGTGAGAGCCAATACTCAGCCAGCCCTTACTCTGCCCCTTGCGCGTGCCCAGAACTTTACAGGTGTTCATTCCTTTTATTCTCACGACATCATCTTTAGGAGGCAGGGACCATTATCATGTCCATTTCACTGATAAGGCACAGAGAGGTTGAGTAAGTAGCCCGAGGTCACTCAGCTAGGAAGAGGTCAATCCAGAATCTAACGTTGGCTGTTTGGGGTTCACACCCAGGGTCCATGTGTGTGAAACCACCACACCACGATGCTTGCTAGTAAGGGAAGACAACCACGGGAAGATTTTTTTTTCTTCTGGAAGGAACCCAAGAGCCTGGAAAGAGAGGGGTGGCTCTTGTGCCTCTCTTGGGCGCTCCCAGCCCTGGGCAGGAGGATGTGGGGAGGTGGTCCCGTGCGGCCCAGGCTCAAAGGATACACGTCTCGATGTTGGCTCCCACGATGTAACCGGTGACGTCGAAGTTGATGCGGATGAATTTGCCCTGCCAATGGGAGAGCACGGTTCATGGGCTGCCGCCCAGCCTTAGCCCGCAACCCCACGCGCCAGGGGAGTCAGGAGGGGCACGTCACGGCGCACTGAGCGGGAAACAAAGACTCTTGCAAACACGCAGAGCCTCACAGGTCAGCTGGTTGGAGAGAACCAACATCCGCTGACCTGAACCGACCCCAGACCTGACAGCGACGGAAGGGCTGGTAAAACGCTTTCACAGATCAGTGACATCTGGCTCTTGCCATGACTCCAGTCGAGCACGGCCATCCCCATTTTAAAGATGGGAAAACCGAGGCTGAGAGAGATCGAGTGACTTGTCCCACATGGCATTGCTCCTGAGGGGTACAGCCATAGCAGAAGGCGAGCTTCCCCACACTCAGGGGCCGGAGGGCTCCCTCCCCAGCCCCCGCCCTGCCCCCAAACGCGGCACCGCTACCATCCAACTGTGGACTAAGCCTCCTCTGCGGGACAGGAGCGATGCACAGTGGCTACGGTGAGCCTTGCTGTCCAAGCTGGCCCTGGGAGGATGTCCCACAGGCAGGATTGGGCCACACCCTGGCCCCGGAGCTGAGCAGATTCCTCCACTCCGAGAGGATGGCCCAATCCACCTGCCTCAGCTGCGCCATGAAAGGGAGGACAGAGCCCAACCCTGCGTCCGCTGGCACCGACCCTTTTCCAACTTTCCCAACAGGTGACGAAGCATCGCATGCTTTTTCTCCACCATGACATACGTGGTGGGGAGTGGTCGCCTGTGCGGACACAGTCCTCTAGGCTGCTCAGGCCTTGACAAAGCCTGCGACTTTCTCCACCAGGAAGCAAGACAGTAGAATGATTTGGACAACCACATTTGGGACAGCACGCCGGTCACGGGCAAGACCCAGGCGCCATCCCTCTCTCTCCTTCCTAAGACGACAGGGGTACCAGTGCGTGGGGGACATTTTTAGGAATTGCTCTCGTTGATGACATGCTAGAGACTTTCCACAGCACACAAATGCAGCGCTTCTCAGTGGAGGCAGAACATCCACCATGGGGGTTTTGAAAATCTGTGGGAGTGACCGTTTGGCTTGTCACATGATGGTGGGGGCTACCGTCTTAGTGGACGGGGGCCAAGGATGCCCGAGGCGTCCTGTGATGGCCGGGAGAGTTCCAGGCACCAAGCGTTGTCCACTTGCCCCGTGACTTTCAGATGTCCCTCTGACATTCATGGAGGTGAAAGTCTATTTGCAGTTAGCTGAGCCTAGATCCTAACCCTGTTTTATTTAAAGGCACAAAAAACAGTTTTTTAAATGTTGTTGTAATATAAGAATGTCACTTCCGTGTCACTCTAGAGATTCTTCTTCGGCTCAGAGCTTCGCTGAGTCAGCTGCTACTCTGGAAAGTCCCGCCCCAACAGCGCCGGTCCCCAGAGGCCCCCTTTCCCTCGTGTCTGTAGCTGTCACAGTCACAGCCATTCTGGGGACAGATGTCAGTGTCAGACTCTTTTACTGTCTTCTGGTGTGGCCTGAGCATTGCTATGTCCAAATGCACATTTTTATTATGAATTGCCTTATTTTATTTCTCCTTCACATTATAGTTAGGGCATTATGGTGATTTGTATTAATCTGACATGTGTAGGAGGTGATATCATCGGTGACTCTAATTTCAGGCAAGAAAAGGAGACATTACCCAATTATTTGTTACAAAAATGGGCCTTGGGGACCACAGGGTTGGTTGGGGACCTGCTTTTATACAATAAAACAATGTTCGTCTACGTGTCATCAACCACCCACTCTCAGAGTTCTCCTGCCCCGGTTAGGCTCAGAAAGGGGAGGCCCTTGGAGCCTGGGGAAGTGTATGTGGGAGGTGACACCTCCTGTCTCATTGCCTCTCAGCTCCCCCCAAACCACAGGCCTCATGAAGGCTGGAGGCACATCTGAATTATTCACTACGATCCTGTGAGCTTAGTTCGGTGTCTGGTATACAGTAGGTGCTTAATAAAAATTAACTCAGCAAATGAAACAACAAGAGAGTGGTATATGCAAAAATGCCTACCAGAATGACTACACACAGTAGGTGCTTAATAAGTATTTGTTGGAGGATGTACATGTCTGGTACACAGTTGGTGCTCAATTCATGCTTTGCTGCATAAATGAGTATTGGATATAAGTGTCTAGGTGCTCAGTAAATATTTGTTGACTGAATAGTAGATGAATGAATGAATGAATGAGGGAATGAAAGGCAGGAGTCTTGCAAGATGGTAAGGTCAAGACAGGATTGAAGACGCGGCAAAACACTATTGTGACATACACATCTATCCCCCCAGGGTCAGAGTCCCCCTGCACACACACACTCTGCAGTCCCAGGCAGAAGATGACACCATGGGATCCAAACATTTTCCAGAAAACCCACATGGCTTTGCTACTTACGAATCGTGAGGAGTTGTCGTTCTTGACAGTTTTGGCGTTGCCAAAAGCCTCCAGAATCGGATTTGCTTGTAGTAGCTGTTTTTCCAGCTCTCCCTAAAATTCATTCACATCTAGTTATTGGGGAAAGCAACTCAGGTCCCGACAGTTCTGCCTTAGATGGATGTTGTCACAAAACTCTGCCCTTAACCCACGGGTTCTCTCCTATCTCCTACCTCCTCTTAGACCCCTGTACTGACGTCAAGGTTTACCCAAGGATTTCCAAAGAGAAAAGCTAGGACATCTGCCTGCTAGGAAGGCCACTTCTTCCAAGACCAGGGCCTGCTCACTTCTGCAATGTCACTGCCACTCAAAGGCACTGCATTGCACCATGCTGGGATGTCATTTACATCATAGTGAACAGTGCCCCCACAGAGTTGTGCAGTGCACAACCTGTCCTGCTGTACATGGTGGTGCTGCTACTGCTCACGTTTAACAAGCAGCCTTCTTCAAGCTAAACGCTACAGTCCCTCTTCTGATCGTTTTAGTGCAGTTTTTAAAAGTTACAATTTTTCTTTTCTCAGCCTGGTTTTCCAAAGTCTCCTCTAGAAGACAAGTAAGGAATGCGCAAAACCCGCCAGGAATCCTTTTCGTCGACTGCAGAACAAAGCTTCGAAGCACATTGCCTGAGCTCCATTCACCAGGTTAAAGGCAGCGGAGACTGTACACAGCCCACCGGCCCCCTCTGCACAAATGCGGTCACATGATTAATCGTGGCAGGAAAGGGCCAATGAGGTAAGTCAAGCCGGGAAAGCGAATGAGCGGCTCTTTGCCAGCCCTGACACGTGGCGGCTGCGGACTGGCCCCAGGGCCCCCTCTGGGAAGCGCTGGATTCTGGGGGTTTTCTCCTTGTTCTCTTCCCTGCCTTGCCTTTGTTTCCCAGGTAGCTGGGCTGGGCTAGACAGAAGCGGGGACAGTGTCTAGAGGGGAAGAGAGTGGGCACAGCTTTCTCCTTGCTCCTCTGCACGCCAAGAGGGCATTAAGGGTAACTGGTCAAAAGGGACAAAACAGGAAGCTACTATTTAGTGCTATTTTTATTTATTCACACGCCCTCTTCCTTTGCAGCTCCTGCAGAAAGATGAAGCGAAAGCCTCATCCGCATGGAAATCCCAGCCATGGTGGAACCGCCCCGGCAGAGACGCGTGGAGATTTATGACAAGAGCCAGGGGCTTTCCTTGGCTAGTGGGAAGAAGACTAAAGGGACCATTTCCATCAACACAGACTTGGGGTCCCCATGTCCGCTGAAAAAAGGCCCCTCTTCTAGAATGGTGATTCCAGCAGGTGGGGTCGAAAGAGTCTCTAAAGAAAGCTTTAAACATGGGGACCTTGGCCGGGCGCGATGGCTCACACCTGTAATCCTGGCACTTCGGGAGGCCAAGGCAGGAGGATCACTTGAGCTCAGGAGTTCGAGACCAGCCTGAGCATAAGCAAGATGCCATCTCTACTAAAAATAGAAAAATTTGCTGGACATCGTGCTGTGTGCCTGTAGTCCCAGCTACTTGGGAGGCTGAGGCAGGAGGATGGCTTGAGCCCAGGAATTTGAGGTTGCTGTGAGCTAGGCTGATGCCATGGCACTCTAGCCTGGGCAACAGAGTAAGACTCTGTCTCAAAAAATAAATAAGTAAAAATAAACATGGGGACCTGGTCCAAGCCCCTCATTTTATGGATGATGAAACTGCGACCCAGAGAAGTTAAGTGACTCGGCCAAGGTCACGCAGCAGCAGATCCCAAATAAGAACCCTGATTCTCTTCTGATCGACAACACTGTCACCCCAGGTCTAACTAAGATGGATTGAGTGTGATCTTTTTAGGAGCCGTGGAAGACCCCTGAGGGCTTCTTCCAGGCTGCGACCCACGTGCCAGCCCCCCAAGCTCTGCGTTAGAGATGAGCTTACATATGCGGAGGTCCGAACAGGACAGGTCGTGCGTTGCGTAGCTGGGGCCTTACCGCGCCACCAAAGCTAGTGCATCGCGAATGCCAAGACTGTTTCTGGAGCCTTGGGGTCAAGCAACCGGCATGCAGAAGACACACGAACACTGCACACGCATGCACAAGGACACACACCAGTGCACCGGGGACAGGGGAGGGGGAAGGAATTTAGGGATGGTGGCGGGGAGAGAGGAGGGAGGCATGCCACAGCCATGCCGTCGGCTGACTGTCAATCAAGCCTGGGAAGCTCTGGGGCCTGACAGTCCTAAAACACTCAACCAGACACGACAGATGTCTCCGGGTCATTGCAGTCGGGGGGCGCCGGTGGTGGGCGCGTTGGTGGGCAAAGTGAGGGGCTTCGTTCCGAACTGGGGAAATCCCTCCTGGGCTGGAGCACAACCCTGGGGGCTCCGACGGGCGTCCTGTGGGTGGCAAACGCACCCCCACGTGCTGCCCTGGCGGCAGACCCCCGCGGGGCGGCATTTCAGTGCGTCTGCTGATTGGGGTTGTGAAACTCGAGGCCTACCCCGTTCTACCACCAGCTACGGTCTCGTGGGTGCAACAGGAGCATGCAGGTCTAAGTACACTCCGTGCCTCCCGTACACGCCAGGAAAACACTCCCAGTTACTCACGTAGGCAAGAGATGGGCCTTGCTGTGGTTGAACAATACGGTATAAAACAAACGTCAGTGTTATTTCAATCACACGCGCATCAAGGTCTGGAGGAATAGATGTGATTTCTATCCCCCCAAACAGCCAGATAACTAGGATAGCAGCTCCTTTCCCTTGGTTCTGTTTCCTTTCCCTCCCTCCCCTTCTGAACTTCTCAGGTGGGCTCCTGCAAACGGGGTCTGATGAGGTAGTGTCTGCATAGGCAGCAAAAAAAATCAGGCATGTAGGAGGCCCTTGATAAAGATTCGTCATTATTATCGAGGATTAGCTCCTATTTTGACTATTTAGGGAAAGGGAAGGCGGTGGGAAGCTGTATTTTCACTGTCACACAAACTCTGGGGCCATCGTTCCCACGCGCCGCGGCTAGAAACCAACTTGCCAGGGACAGTTCTGCACTGCCGGACCTCGGGTGTCCTGCCTTTGTTTGAAGAAGGAACGTTCTCTGAAGGTGCAACCAGCGCCCACCCCAGATCTCCAAGGGCCTTGGGACACGTCAGCCACTGTGGCTGCCCCAGAGTCGCCGCTAAGGGTCTGACACAAGAACCGGAATGGCAGGAACCGGAGACACCCCGCGCCGTGGCCAGACCTCCATTCTACCGTCTTCCTGCCCCCAAACCTGCGACAGAGGTGCTGGCCGGTCCTGGCGGCCCAGGGCTTGCCCCTCCTCTGGGACAGATGAGGCGGGACTGAGGCAGGAGAGGAGGAGGAGGAGGAGGAGGAGGAGGACAGGCCCTAGAAGGGATGACTCAGAAACCCGCTCTTCTTTCCCCTCCAAGCCCTCAGTCAGACTGTGTCATCGTTTGTTTATTTGTGGAATTATTTGATGACTCTCTCTCTTTCCCACTGGTCTGGAGGCTCAGAGAACAGAATGACAGCATCTCTCGGACTCGTCCCTGGACCCCCACCCTAGCGGGTGCTCAGTCCATAGTTACTGAACGGTATCGGACCAAAGCCCACGTGCCGAGCGACACCAGCATCCCCACCCCTGGGGATGGGGACACGTGGAGGGACAGGCAAACCCAAAGGGCACCTCGACACTAAGGAGCTTCCAAAGATCCAGGTGAAATGAGTGGTTCTCGGTCGGGGGCAATGCCCCGCCCCAGGCGACATCTGACAACGTCTGGAGATGTCTGTGGTTGTCACAACTGGGGGGGCGGCGATTGGCATCTCATGGGTGGGGGCCAGGGATGTTCCTGGGGGGCACAGGGTGGCCCCCCACAACAGAGAATTATCTATCTGGTCCAAAGGAGCACCAGTGCCACTACGGAGAAGCCCTGGCGTGGCGCAGGATCCCACCGTGGGGGCGGAGGGCTTGTCCCCACCTCCCGACACTGGCCCTTCAAGAGGACGCTTCTGGCGGAGGCCGGGAACGGCCCGGACGCAAACAGGCTGCTCGCGCGGGAAAACGACTCTCCCACGAGTTGTCAGGGGAGGGGACGGTCACACGCGGGGCCCGAGTCCTCACGACAGCGCTCTGTTTGTGCCTCGGTCAGATCGTGAGCCGGAGACCCGTCCGCTAAGTCATGGCCGCTGACGGGGACCCTGCCACTCACCGTGATGCTCGTGTCCTTCTTGCCCTTGTGGGACGAGGCCACCACGGCCAGGTACTGGATGACTTTCTTGGTGTTTTCTGTTTTCCCGGCTCCAGACTCGCCTCTGAAAGACACAGGAACAGTGATCGTCGGAAATAACCTGCGCAGGTGTCCGCGGTTACCTTTCCACGACTCCGTGCTCATCACTGCCATTTCCCAGATGGGGAAACTGAGGCTCCCAGAGGGGAATTAACTTGCCCCAGGTCATACCTCTGGTAGTGGGCTGCGCTGGGCCTCAAACGCAGGTCCCATGCTTAATCTGCTCCTCTCCCAAGAGGATGCAGGAAAGGATTCAGATAAAAAGAGTGAAAAAGAAAACCTGAGTTTTCCCACAAAGGTCCAAACTTAGGTTTATTAGGAATTGTCTGCTTTTAAGACATCATTAGCATTGTTAGAAATGGAAGGACTAGGCAAGAGGTAGCCTTGAAAGAAAGACATAAATACCTCTCAGAGGTCGGGGACCAAAGGTAAAAGTTTCAGAAACTCTCCTTATGGGGGGAAAAAACTGGTTATCCCATTGGCCACCGGGCAGATGCAAGCCCCTTCATCCTCTGGAGAATCCTATCCTGAGTATCACGTGGCTGGCTAATGATCTCAGCCAAGTATCAAAGGATAAACCTGGCCGGAGTAATTCTTGCTAACGTGTGAATGACTGATAGGCTTAGATAGGCAGAGCATTGTTTGTCTTATCAAAAGAGTATACACTCCTAGAATATGAGGGGTAGATTTTTTTTTTAACCAAGATGGCCTTCTTGAGCCAGCTGCCTTTCTTGGCCACCAGAACTCGTGATGGTAGGATTGTTTCATCCAAGGGTTCCAGACACTGTCTCTGGCTCCCACCACTCCTAGTGAAAGGGAAGGACAGGACCTCAACCAAAACTTCCCTCCTTCCTTGTCCTCTCCTCTTCTTTTTGTTTGTTTTGCTTTTTGTATTTCCTTTCTTTGCCTAGACTCTCATTTTCTGAGCTGCCTTAATATTCTAAAATATAAGAGAGACACGAGTTTTTTTAAGTCTGGAAAAGAATTTGTCCACCCGAGGTCGGCTCAAGGTTCTCTGTGCTGAACCAGTGCCACCAATGCTAGTACAGTCTCCGCTCTTCTTCCTAATTAGGAAATAAAAAAATTAATTTTCTCTGCCAGAGTCCCACTAATAACTTTGCTCATGGCTTAAAAAAAAAAAGAAAAGAAAAGAAAAGAAAGAAAAAACATGTGCTCTGAATTGCTGGGCCCAATCCTACAGGTCCCACTGTCCAGAAATTGAGTGTCTGATGGCCAGGAACAATGAAACATCTCACACCAGCCTCTGTGCTGTCCCCTCCTTCTCGGTGGCCTTTATTCTCAAAGGCCACATTATTTCACATGGTCTCACAGGCAGCTTATGAAACAGGAACTATGGAGGCATTATCTTCATTTTCCTGAAAGGGAAAATTAAGGCCAAAAAAAGTTTGTTTTTTTTTTAATTTTAAAGAGGAAAATTGACCTTTTTTTTTTTTGGCAGGTGGTTGGGGTTAGGGGCTCTTTGTTTCACATGTATTATCTCCTTTATCCTCCTCCTGCCCCTATTCCTGAAGGAAGGAGTCATTACCTCCATATTATTAAAGAAGTAGTCTGGCCCAGAGTGGGTAGGCAACTTGCCCTAGGTCACACAGCGAGGCAAGGGCATAGTCAGAATTGAGATTCGGGTCTCCGATTCCAATGCAATCAGGACTGTTTTTACTACATTTCGCTAAGTCGTTCCATGACACAGGCCCAACCCTGTAGGAACTTGCTTTCTAAGGCCAGAGGAAGGGAGGGGAAGAAGAATTGATATATGTTTAAGGCCTACTCTGTGCTAGGCACTGGGCTCGCAGATCTTTTTATTTAATCCTCCCAGTGACCTAATGAAGGAGTTCTTAATTATCCCCATCACTTGTCTGGGGGAAAGTGAGGATCGGAGAGTTTGAAGTAAATTGCTCCAGGTCACAATTGCTTTTGCACTCACATGGATAGGAAATGGAGAAGAAGTAGGATTCGAACTCGGGTCCACTAGACACCAGAGCCCACGTTCTGCCTTCTACCCTTTTATTTTGATAAATGAGCAAAGGGGAAAGGTGGAAAGAAGTCTCAGCCCCACTCCATCAGAGTTCTTCTGTATATTCTTCACTTGCCTTAATCAATAAGCCAAGACACTCAGTCATTTACACTTTAGTATGAATTACTTCAAGCAGGCTAATGGCAGAACATCTGATAGACTTCACTCCAAATTGAAGGGGCTGGGTTTTGATCAGACCAAGAGGAAGGAAAGAAAATTCTGAGTGTGGGAAGCCACCTATGTAGGTGGTGCTGAGCCTATTTAGATCTAAGACAATAGTCAGGGCAGCAGCGCGCGCAAATGTGTGGAGAATACAGTATTCTTGCCGACAGCCCAGTGTCCCCAGATCACTGCTACGCACCTCTCCTTTCCCGTGACAATTTCTTCCTTTTCCACCCTTGCATTCTGCCTCTCCCACCCCCTCTCTTTTACAACAAAGACATCGGCATGACCTGTCGGGGCCCTGGTCTTCCCCTTTGCCAGCGAGGGGAAGCGGGACACGCACGTTGGGAATCTGTCCCTCCCTGTGTGGACTGCCTGGCTCAACAGTTTCCAAGTTTTACTGATAAAAATAAATCGTCCTAGGAGGTTCTGCCAAAGAAAACATCCCGAGCTCCAGGCTCGAGGGTGTCTGAAGGTTGACGTGCTCAGGGTTGGTCGAGAAACATTAATGTCTTTGCTTTTCCGACCCTTGAACTTGGGAGTGAAGATGGCTTCCTGGTCTGAGCATCCTAAACCCCCCTTTCCTGTTTCTGCTCCCTCTTCCCGAAGGAGGACCTGGACTCACGACCACGTGTGTCCTCCTGGCCTTGCAACTGCCCCACCCACCGCCAAGTCCTTTCCATCAGCTGCAGGGCTGGAAGGAGCCACCCAATGGCGCTTAACCCCTCGGCTCTCAGCAGGGCTGGCTTCGTGGGTGTGCGACCCGTACCGTCGCACAGGGACCTCTCTGAGGAGAGCCCCCATGCTTGATTTAATGCGCTGACGTTTCATCTGGAAATTCTTCATAACTTTTGAACAAGGGGCTCTCCACTTTCATTTTGCATAATTTTACTAATTATGCAGTTGGTCCCGACTCCCAGAGTTGAACACCATTTCCAAGTCCATGGCGGCCTCTGGTCTGCGCCTTTTCTAGGAAAGCCAAATTGGCTCTGATGAACCTCAGAACTCTTCAGTCCCTGGTCCTCATGCAATTTCCATCCCTGCCACTGGCAAGGCCCTCTGGCATTGGTACTGTTCAACTCCTACACATCCTGCAAAGCCCAGTTCAACACTGCCTCTATTCTGAAGAGTGTCTCTGGCTCCTCCGGGCAGAGGGGTTTTTCTGTTCTACAAAATCACCGTAAACCATAGGGCTGGATCCTGCACAATCTTCCAAGCCACAGTGAGGTGCTTGGATTTTATTCTAGTGGGTGCAGGAAACAATCTCAGGAGGGGAATGGGGCTTTAGAACCAGTGGCCGGAACATCAAAATCGCAGGATGGAGACCGGATTACAGGAGGGATTTAAAAAAAAAAGTGGTCATAGTGATAACAGCTGACCCTCACAGAGCACTCACTGCAGGGCAGGGGCCTTGTTCTCAGTCCTTCACGTGCAGTGACTCATTTAATCCCTCCAACAACCCACTGGGGCACTTATTGTCCCCATTTTACAGATGAGGAAACTGAGGCTTGGAAAAATTAAGTGACTTATTTCCAAAAGCATACAACTAGTTGGTGATGGGGCAGGAATTCAAACCCAGGAGGTTTGGCTCCGGAGCCCACAGTTTATGACACCATACTAATGAATATTTATTGATGAATAATGAATGAATCTTCTCGTAATGAACGGGGCAGTGGGAGAGGGAGCTCAGTTAGGAGGCTGCTGCAGTGGCCCATGAACCAGGGAGAGGCTGTGGAATCAGATGAGCACACAGAGGTGGAAATATTTCCGGACCCCACTGCCCAAGGCGGGGGTCGCTATCTAAATTAATTAAAATTTAAAAATAAAAATCCAGTTCCTCAGCGCATTGGCCACATTTCAAGTGCCCAAGAGCCACCCTCACAGAAAGTCCTGTTGGACAGAGGGACTGGCACCTGCTGGTGGCGTGGGTGTCGGGGATGAGGGTGGGGTGGCTTCTTCCTCCTCTTTACAGCCTCTCCATAAGCTTAGCTCAGAGAGGTTAAGTGACCTGTGCAGGGTCACAAAGCCAGGAAGCTGTCTGGAAGGCCTGCTCTTCCCTGCTCCTGTCTGTTGCCATGCTAATTCATTTACTCAACAGATGCTAGTTGTGCAATGCTATTTGGGCACCTGTGAGATGACATGTGGCTCACACATGGGCCCGTCACAGGGGCTCAAAGGGCCCCGTGATCAGTTGAAAAATGGCGCTGCACAAAGACACCCACATCCTAATCTGCACAACCTGTGACTGTGTTAGCTTACACAGCAAAGGGACTTCGCAGATGTGACTAAGTTAAGGCTCTCGAGATGGAGGAGATGATCTTGCATCATCTGGGCCTAATATAATCACGGCTCCTGGTCCTTGCAAGAGGAGGCAGGAGGGCCGGAGAAAGAGATTGGAGATGCTACACTGCAGGGTTTGAACGTGGAGGAGGGGCCACGAGCCAGGGAACGTGGGCGGCCTCTAGAAACTGCAAAAGCAAAGGAGGCCAAGTCAGCAGGTGGTCTTAGCATGTGGCGCCACATACCGAGGCAGCATCGCACCACTGGTTCCTGGTTGTTCATCAGGAAACAGCAAACGCTGATTTCTACCGTGGAAAATGAGAATTCAGCCACCATTCAGTCCTCTCCCCCTTCCCCAAGGAGCCAATTCGATTGCACGCAGCGATTCTGGTTTGATGAGCTCTGGGTTTGCGTTATGATGTAATGTGTGCACGGCTGGGCTCCTGGGTCCACTGTGACGATTCTTCCTTCCTGCCCAAATTTTGGTCTTCCCGAGAATTCGTCATTGCCTTGTTTTATCGTTTTCCGGTTTCCTACATGTATCAGCCCCAAACTTATCGCAAATCTCTATCTTCTCTCAATACATGTCACTGTCATCCCAGCACCCATGACCCCACTGCAGTTCCTATCTGTCTTGTTCGGGACCCTGCGGCCTCACAGGTGCCCAGCACTTGCTGACACACAATACATACTGGCTGCCTGAACCTGTCCTTCTGATCTGGAGAATTTGCTGTAAGAAACATTTGGGGGGAAGCTGGAAAAGCACTTTTGAAAAGCAGAAGGCAGGCTTCGAGACAGTGGCGATTAGCATTTCTTAGCACCTTAATTTAGAACTCGTCATTCACGATTCTAAACGTGCAGAGAAAGTTGTAGGAGCAAAAGTCTAAAAGCAAAGCCAGTTACTGTTACTAAATGTTGATAACACTGTTAATGCTGGTGTGTTGCCTGTATTTTCAACTGAAGAAGGCAATGCTAAATTTCAGTGAGAGGTTTAAAAAGTGATTGTATATGTGTGTGTGTGTGTGTGTGTGTGTGTGTGTGTGTGTCTCTCTCTCTCTCTCTCTCTCTCTCTCTCTCTGAGATTATTGTTATTTGAGGGGTTGTTTTGTTCTGCAAAGTCACCGTAGACACTGAATTAGTGAGTACTGAACCATTGCTCCTAGGGGATATACAGGGCTAGGTTCCTACCAGCCTGAACTTAAATTTAAGTTTTCCACGCAACCGTACATCCTAAAGTGCATTCTATTCGAACACGTATCGATCAGCTCACTCTTTGTAGGGGCTGCCTGGAAAGGCTATATTTATTTAACCAATCCCTGTTGGTTATAACTTCCAGTTGCTTCCAGACTTTAAACACACACACATACACACACACACACAAAGACACATATACAGTTGATCCTTGTTATTCACAGATTCCATATTTGTAAATTCGCTGACTTGTTAAAATGTATTTGTAACCCCCAAATCAATACTCATGGTACTTCGTGGAAATGCATGGAGCAGGGAAAATTTGATTCACCCAATGCACGACTTCCCAGCTGAGGCTGAACGAGGCAACGGTTTGCCTTCTAGTTTCAGCTGTCATACTGTAAACAAGTGTCCTTTTCGTGGTATATTTAGTGCCACAATTTCTTGCATTTTTTTGTGGCTTTTTATTAATGATTTTGCCGTTTAAAATGTCCCCTGAGATGTGCCCACTTCGGCGGCACGTATATGAAAACGTGCCCTAAGCACCATACTGAAGTGCCAGCTAATGTTTCTAAGCGCAAGAAGGCTGTGCTATCCATCACATAGAAAACATATCTTAGATAAATAAGCGTCATTCAGGCATGAGTTACAGAGCTGTTGGCTGTGAGTTCAATGTTAATGAATTGACAATATATATTAAACAAATATATACTATTTATATATGATATAATAGTGAAGATTCTCTGAATGATTCTAAATTGAGTTCATATCTTCTGACCATATACCCAGGTCTTCAAAGAAACAGAGACAGCAACCAAATATGGCACCAATGTGGTTGGTGGCTCGCTAATTGTGAAATTTTAAGGTGATAGCTTAACACAAACCTCAATTTCCCTAACAACAGCGATAGCACCTACCTTTCCAGAGCTGTCAGGCAATTAAATGAGATTCTGCATGCAAAATGTTTAGTCCAAGTCCTAGCACACAGTAAGTGCTCAATAAATGCCAGTTTTTAAAAAGGGAGGGAGGTGTAAACAAAATGCCACTAGGTACCATTCAGAGTTTAGGTTTGTCTGCCTCGGCACAAGGACGTTTATCACAAATGTTTAGTGAGCATCTACTTCGTGCCAGGTATGGAGCGAGGCACGTGGAACAGTAAACAAATCAAAGATCCTCAGAGGTGCTTTCTTTAGCAGATTGGATCCTGACTCCAGAGTAAAAAGAGTAAAAAGCAGCTCCACTCACGTGCACAGAATGGACTGGTCCTCTCGGTCTGCAAACGGAAAGCAAAAAGAGGCGTGAATTAGAGTTAGCTCTGAGCGGAGGGTCTGGACTTAGCTCCCGCAGGGCCCTTCCATTCTCAAGCCCCTGCACGCTGGCCCCACGGGGGGTGGGGAGGGGCCAGCTGGGCTCATTGCCCAGGGCGCGGGGGGGCAAGACCAAAGCCAAGAGGGCAACTGCAAAGTCCCAGAGGCAGTCCCCAAAAGACGCTGAAGCCTGACTCACCCAGGAGTGAGTGAGCAGCCAGCCACACTGGCTCTGGGGATGTCCTGGGAGACCCATTCTGCCCGATTAAGTCATGGACAGAACACAGACAGACTGGGGTCCCACTTGGTGTGTCTCAGCCCTGCGGCCTTGGCCAAATAGTCTTAAACTTCTCCATGCCTCAGTTTCTTCATCTGTAACATGGTATAGTGAACATTTTTGGGTTTTGAAAATCCAACATCTGTTCCCTCTTTTTCCAGGAAGTGCATCCTGTGTTCCCTTAGCAGGTTTCCCTGTCTCGCCCCTGCCGTCGCACACGAGCTTCGTGGGCTGCGCCACAAGCTCCCTGGACCCCGGTGAAGAGGTGAGAACGTGCCCCAGGCTGCATCAGTTGGACTCTCTGGCCAAACCTCCAGCTCAGTGGAGGACAGGGAAGCACAGCAGGTGGACGGAGCCCTAAGGGTCACTACTTCCTGCCCCCGGGCCCGAGCAGCCCCACTTTCTGTCATTCTCCAAGCCTGGTTCCCCAGTCCTCCCACTCCATCTGTGAGCTCCTCCATGCTCCTCCACAAACTCCTTTCCTCTACTAGATGACAGAGTCGGTCTCTGTTGCTTACCTCCAGGGAAACTTGGAGGACACAGATGGCATTGAGAGGTGAAACGTGATTAAGCAGACATTACAGTCACCTTCTGTTCTTAAAGTGGCCTCAGAGGGTGGAGCCAGCTTCTGGAGCCCATTTCCTGTCCTACGAGGGACATAGGAGTGGCTGCCAACACTTTCAACCATCAGCCAATAACAGAGAAATCAGAGCACAGTATCCACTGGTGGGCAATGCCAAAGGGGGAAGAATTTCCTAAATCCACTCCTTGGCTCCAGCTCTGCCATCACAGTGTTCAGCCCTCATGAGCCTCACTTTATCAAAGATTTACCAGGGTTGGTTTAACATCATATCTCCTGGCAGATAGTAGGTGATCAATTATATTTGTTGGATGGATACAAGGATGGATGGGTGGGTGGATACATGGGTGGCTAGATGGATGGGAGGATGCATGGATGATTGGGAGAATGGGTGGATGGATGGATGAGAGGGTGGATGGGTGGGAGGATGGATGGGTGGGTGGATGGATGGGTGGGAAGATGAGTGGATAGATGGATAGATGGGAAAATGGATGGGTGGGAGGATGGGTAGATGGATGGATGGGAGGGAGGATGGATGGATGGATGGGTGGGAGGATGCATGGATGGATGGATGGGAGGATGGATAGGAGGGAGGATGGATGGATGGATGGGTAGATGGATGGATGGGAGGGAGGATGGATGGATGGATGGGTGGGAGGATGATGGATGGATGGATGGGAGGATGGATAGGAGGGAGGATGGATGGATGGACAGACAGGAAGAGGGACAGATGGGACTAAAGGAGCACATGCCTGTGTATCACTGGGGGCCAGAGAGAACAATAGTGACCATACGTAGAGGTGGGGGGATTTACATCCTAAGGCGAGGATCTGGCCCACCCAGGGCACGAAGAGCGAGATGACTGGGCTGGCTCTGTGGATCCCACGCCCACTTCCACCCCATCCTCCCTCTCTTCCCTCAGCTTACACACATGGATGCTCAGGGGGCCTGGCTGAGCCAAATCCTCAGGACAAAGGCAGAAGAGCCAGAAGGATATTTAGTTCGTCTTCCTCACTTTTTCACATCAAGCTGGTAGCAGGGGCCAGAGCTGCCCTCAGGCGCCGTGCTCAGGGGTGCGGGAGGCCCCATCTCAGGCAAGCCCGACCTCTGAGCCGAGGGCCCAGGGGAAGCTTCTGCAGGACCAAAGGCCACGGGATTGTGCGGGGCAGAAGGAGGGCACGTCCTCCCTTGGTATCAGGACCCTGCCTTACCCCGCAGTCCTGTCTTCCAGGCCAGCTACGCTGATCCCCGCAGGGACTCCCAGGCTGCTCTGAAACCCTCAAGAACACACCCAAGACACCCAAACACGTGTCCGGAGACAGACACACGGTTGTTCCCTGCAAGAGCGTCTGCAACAGCAAAACACTAGAAACAAGCCACTTAACCAGTCCGGCCACTGAAGGCTACTGAGGTCAATCCTGTGGTTTCGATTCTGGTGTGGCCAAGAGACAACTCGTGAGGCAGCCATTGAAAAGCAGGCAGAGCGTCACAGACAGATGCGCAGCAATCTCCAAGACATGGTAAGCTAAAAACAGAAGCCTAGCTAACGTTTTGTTTTAAAAGAGGGATACACACAAATGCACACACACACGCATATATATGTACACGTATGCACACATACACGTTTACATACACACTCGTGTATGCAGTGCGTATATCGTGCAGCTGCTCAGGACGCTGCCCTCAGTGGCTGTCCCTGGCCAACGGTCTGAAGGACCGAGAACGAGGACAGGAGAGAGACTGACGTTCACCCCACCTACTTCTACTCTGGTTATGTTTGTGCTATGAACACATACAGCCTCTTCCTCATCCCCCCAAAATGGTCATTGGAACAAAATATATTGTTCTTGCTGGAACTGTCATGACCACAAAGCTTAGAAAAGAGAGAAAATAGCCACCCAGCCGCAATCCCGCTAAGAGCTCCCGTCCCTCCAAATGCTGGCTGCAGCCGGGCCTGTTCTGAGCTCCTCCGGAGCTGATGCGACCCACCGAATCCTCACAGCAGCCCCCGAGGTGGGCGCCACCAGCATCACCTCTGTTGTACAGATAAGGAAAGCAAGGCTCAGAAACGTGGCTTCTTGCCTGTGGTCACCATGGTGGGTTGGATCGTGGCTCCTGAAAGATACGTCCACTCAGAACCTCAGAACGTGACTTTGTTGAGAGTAAGGGTCTTGCAGATGTAACTAAGGTAAAGATCTTGAGACAAGGTCATCCTGGGTTAGGGTGGGACCGAAATCAATGACTGGTGTCCTTATTTATCGGGGAAAGGAGAGGGAGATTAGAGTCACAGGGGAGAATGTCACGTGAAGAAGACAGCAGAGATTGGAGTGATTTCCCCGCAAGGCAAGGACACCAAGGATTGCTGGCAGCCACCAGAAGACGGCCAGTAGGCACGGGACAGTCCCCTTCCCAGGCCTCCAGGAGGACCAACCCTGCCAACACCTTGGTTTCAAACCTGTGGCCTCCAGAACTGTGGGAGAGTAAATTCCTGTTGTCTTAAGCCCCCAAGATAGTGGTCATTTGTTACGGCAGCCGCAGCAACTAATATAGCTACACCGCTAGTAAATGGCGGGCTGGAACTTGAACCTGGGGCCTGCCTGATTACAAAGACCATGCTTTTCGCCGATGCGTTATTTTGCCTTCCTCAGATAACCTACACTCGTGCTGGTGGGACTTCCTCCTAGGATAAAAACTGATTGAGGCAGGGCAGGGTACAAGATCGAGGGAGAGAGGACCAGGCACGCTGTGGTTAGAACCCAGGCAGAAACAGAACCTCCTGGGCTGGCCCAGACAACCGCCACTATTTTAAGGAAGGATATTGAGACGGACGGACAGATGGGCTATCTTGATCCATCTGCTTCCGGGAGAGAAGAGGCCTTTCCCAGCAGCCTCATGAAGCCTGGCCCTTGAGCAGGAGAGATTTATAGGGTCAGATGCTGACAGGCCCCCCAGGAGAAGGGGCGGGCTCCAGGGGAAGGCTTGGGAGCTGCCAGGGCAGCTCCGTGCTGGGCGCTGCCCGGAGACCTCTGGCCTGGGACATTCTCATCGGAAACACACCGCCTCCAACCGTGGGAAGCTCACAGAGCACTCGTTACGGGCAAAAGAAGGGCCCCGTGTGGGTGCTGTTTGCCAACCCACATGGAACACCAGGAACTCTGAGACTCTGGAACTTTCTGTCTGGTTCCTTCCACAAGCCTGAGCGTGTGTCTGATTCTAGAGAGCAGAGCTCTCCATGCAAAGCAGTTTCGCCTCTTTCAGACTTTGCATGGGCTATTTCTTCTGCCCAGGGCACCCGCCACCGACACTTTTCCCGCCCAATCCATTCTCTTTATTTCTTTTTCTCATTGACGTGAAATTCACATAACACAGATTTAACCATTTTAGAGTGAATAATTCAGTGGCATTTAGTACATTCACAACATTGCACGACTACCGCCTCTATCTAGTTCCAAAACATTTTATCACTCCACAATAGAACTGTCACCCCCATAATCCCGGGGAGCCACCGGTTTGCTCTCTCTACGGATTTGCTATTCTAGATATTTCCCATAAATGGAATCGTACCACGTGTGGTCTTTTGTGCCTAGGTTCCTTCACTTAGCATGATGTTTCTGAGGTTCATCCGTGTTGTTCACCCATGAGGTGTCAGTACTTCATTCCTTTCATGGTTGAATAATATTCTATTGTATATGTAGACCATATTTTGTTTCTCCATTCATCTGTTGATGGACATTTGGGTTGTCTCCACCTTTTAGCTATTGTGAATAGTGCTGCTATGAACATTGATGTGCAAGTTTTTGTTTGAGTACCTGTTTTAAATTCTTTGGGTATATACCCTAATCCGTATTTGAAACATCATTTTGGGAATCACCTCCTCCACGATATCTTCTCTGGCTCCACATTTCTCTAGAGCTGAGTCAGGGGCCTTTCTACTGTACCCCCACCTGCAGGGCTGCCATGGACAGTGGTGCAAGTTGTATACTGCATAACTCCAGGGGGAACTATTCACATTGATCATTGTAGATTTGTGTATTTATTATAATAATCTTCCAGCAGATGGAGGCAAAGTGCCTTGAGAAAGGGGTGCCTTTTTCTAATTCTATAAAGGT